CGCCTGGCTTGCGTTTTCGCCTTTATCGAAGAAAAACTGTAAAATATGGCGTATTTTCTCTTTGCTGGTGTCCATCTTTGATGCGCGCTCAAACAATACTGAGTCAAACAATCACAAAACTGTCTGAGAAGTTTTTTTAGTACGAAATCTTGTGGCGCCCCAGCTAACGCTGGGCGCACACGCACATGCATACACACCTGTGCAGCAGCTGCCACGCGCTGATAGGCGAAAGCAGAAACTACTGCCGCACCAAGTTTTTGCGATCGCGCCGTAAGTGGTAGAGACGGTTTTCCCTGTACCAGTCAGTCAGATCAGGTCGAGAAAAGTAGAAGGCGTTTTCTCATGCTAGAGATACATATACACGTTTCTTTTTGTTCGGAGTGGCCGTCCTACGTGCCGCGGTGTCCATTATGTGGTGCGCGTTGGTTCATTATTGCGACACGTGTATGGGATTGAGAGAGATAACCGCACAGTTATTCACAAAGACGCAGTGGTGTAAGCCTTCGTAAAGTATTGTGCCGAACGGAACCTCATGAAGTGTAACCGCGGGAAAATTGCTGTGCTTGTGTCATAGAGCACGCCGGTGTAACAGCGCTGCACGCGCATGTGCTTGCAAAGTCAGTCGCACGCGCGCATTAGCAGATAAGATATTTTGTGTCTCACTACGCATATTTCCTGCTTGCTCAAGTGTATGATTATTACCGTGCATACCCGGGCGGTGACACGGGCTGTCCACGTGCCGTGGATAGGTCCGTGTGCGCACACGGTACGTCGGCGCGGTGTCAATCACATGCTCCTGCGTGATCACCTGTGTGCACAGTCTCAGCATTGTGCCAATCTGCACATGCACGTGCACGTGCTCGTGCACATGTACACACGTACTCGACCTTACTTGTGTGGAATAATCCTTTCTCTCTCTTGTTTTGTTTTGTACTGCGTCCTCCACACAAACCGTGATAACGTTCTCTTCTTTTTCTTTTCTGTGCCAAATACCGTGTGTTAATATTAAGTACCGGCATTAAGGTTAAGCTTGTGAGAGTTTGAAGACTGCGTTTCTTTTGTTCTTTTTGCGTAGGCTAAGTGCGTGCGATCTTATCTCTTTTGTTCATTTATTTCATATTGTGCGGTGATCGGAGCCCACCAAAAAGTTTGTGTCAGCATTAAAGTATACATTTCTTTTGTTAATTGGTGCGTTGAGCATTTGTTCCTGTATGTGACATGTGTGCCTGTCCAGAGTTGCATTCCGAGCATGTACGCGCTTAGAGTTGTGTGGTACAATATACACATGTGCCACGTGTATGTTGAGTGACGTTACCACAATCTTATCTTTCTAACGCCATCTAGCGTAAACCTATCGCACTTATACAACGCGAGATACACATTACTAAAGCCATTTATTGGAAAAATAATGGATTTCTTTTTACTACACCTTATATGTTGTATAAATATACGTCAAAATAACACTTTCGCATATTCATTCAGTTTGTCATAAAAAATTAAAAAAAAACAAACAATTTTCAGGTAATCTGATCCTCCAGTCCCCTTAATGATATTGATTTTTCAACTCAACAGATTTTATCTTTTCATGTCTTATGGCTCCTGCACACAGGACGCGGTAATGCTTGCCGCGCGGCGAAAGTTCGCACGACAGCTAATCAATATGTTGTTTTTCCGTAAGAGCTAGAAGATTATTACGGAAAGCAGAATATTGATTGGCTGTCGCGCGAACTTCCGTCGCACGGCAGGCATTACCGCATCCTGTGTGCAGGAACCATTAATTATTTTACTAGAAACACATATCCCTTATAGAAATATCATACTAAGAATCATTGATAATTACTTATTTTCAATATTAAAAATACTGGATAATAAGTAATTATCAATGATTCTTAGTATATTTCTATAAGGGATTATTAACAAAATTACTCAAAAACTATAACTGCTATGATATTTTTATTGGGAAAGAACCTAATCTCTAACCAAATCATTGAGGGAAAACATTTTGTGACTTTGGAATATTTTGTATGTACAATGTAAGATAATTATATGTAATTGTTAATTTTTATATTGCAGGAACTTAACCAGACTATTATGCAAGATTTAAGTGTCAAGCAATTAGAAGCCATTACACCGTTGCCAAAAAGGGTTATTAAGTGGTGGAGATGGTATCATCAATTGACAGGATTGGATGCTGTTGAAGCAGCTAAACAACAAGTAATCATTCTTCAAGATAAATTGTTTGAGTGTCAAGATAATAGAAGATTTCTAAATAAACAATTGACAGATATTAGACTTGGATTACAAGAAGTCTATAGTGAATTAATACAGACTAAGCGAGATGATCCTAAATATGTGCATTTAACTATGGTAGAAAATAAAAAATTACGAGAGCAAAATAATATCATTAGTAGACTTGCATTATTGGAAAAAGAAGAGAAGGAAAAATTTACACAATTGACTACAGCTTTTAAAGAATATCATGATAACCAAAATATGAATGCACAAAAATACAAATATTTATCTATTATTGCCTCAGTGATAGTAGCAATAGTATCATTAATTGGTTCAATAATACTTAATAATCAGAGGATATTGAGTGTAAAAAATGCTATAAATGAAGCACAAGAAAAAAATGAATCTTTATTTCATACAAATACAAATCAACTATATGACCTTCAGAAAAAATTTCATTTATTTGAAACAAAATTTTCACAAAATACAAATGAAAAAAAGGAGATTGATAAAGAAAATGACAATACATCTAATGTTTTGACAACTAGTGCCAAGTATGTAGCACATACAGTAATTTTAGGTGGGAGTTATGCTATAAGAGGAGTATACGCGTGTGGATCATATATCACCAAAATTTTTACGGGATAAAGAATATCTCTTTTCCTCTCTTTTTAAGACATTATTAAGAATTTATAATTCCGTAGCACAGAACTAACTTTAGACAAGTTCTTACTACTTTTTTCTTGTACTCATACATAAATTTATTTGTTATTAAGTACCATAGATAGCCTTGTATTTGTAATTTTGTTATTAAATATAGATACTATAGATACTATAGATATCTATAGTATCTATAGTATCTATAGATACTATAGATACTATAGATAGTAGAAATAACAACTAATATGCACTGTTATCATGTATACTATTTATATTATATCAAATGTATAAAATCATGAAATTATGAAATAACTGTTCCATTAAATATAAAATTTTTCTTTTTTTCTGTAAATTTTTCTTTTTTCTATAAAATAATAACTTAACTGCTACAATACATACTATATAAAAGAAAACATTAAAAAGCTCTATACTTTTTATAATCTATATACGCGCTGTAAAATATATGTTATGTGCACTTATCTTTATTTATATACACATAGCTATACACAAAATGTTTCAGAACAGTTATGCTATATGAAATATTATGAAATTAATCCTCTGTTTACACATTAGATTACAATCACTACACACTTGGGTTAGCGTAACTCACAAACTTTGTTGACTCATATTTCGGGTTGAATTTAATCAATTTAAACGTTTTTTTATTAATCAAAAGGGAGAATACTCAATATATAATGGTGTTAGTTAAAAATTGTAGATATTCCAAAATAAATTTTTGGAAAAAATGGAAGAAAGTGGAAAATTTTTGAAAAAAATTATTGTTTTTAAACACCTGTATTTTTTTTTACAAAAGAAAAGATAAAATAGTTTAAAAAATGATCAATGGAAAGCTGAAAAATTAAACTAAAAAAAAGAGTCTATCATCAGTGTTTTATTTTTTTCAAAAACTATATTTGTTTGGTAACTATATTTGGTAACATGAAAATGTAGAATTTTCATGTTGCCAAAATTGATGTCGACGAATTGATGTCACAAAAATGAGGTGCAACGTGAAATGCTCACATTTTTTATGCAAATAAGTGATTAAAAGTATTTTAATAATCTGTTGCTAATAATTTTCATTAATTACAAAACGAAACAGTAATAACATTTATTTAAACAATTAATTTATTAGAAGATTTATTTGACCCTTTATATTTACAAAATTATTTAAGCTTAAAGAATCAAATTAAAATAACTAATTTGAATTACTAATGCTGTATTATCTGTTTCCAATTCTTCTTCAGATCGTTTGCTCGCTCGCTAGCTTGGTTTAACGCCTCAAGCTCCTCAGCTCGACGTTGTTTCTCGCGCATCATCTGAAAAACAAAATATTATCTGAATGCGTTATTAATTAAATTATTTAATATAATATTTATTTCAATTTTCTAAAATTAAGATACTACTTTTACAAATCGTTGATAATATTAGCAGCGGAATTACCTAGAAAAGCGTCGCTTATGTGAAAGATACTTTTTAGATACAAATCACACTTTTTATAAGCATTATATGCACAAAATGATAAACAATCAAATAGAATCACTTTTACTTACACTTCAAATTTTCGATTTTTCACGTTTTTGTAGCAATTCCTACGCACTGGATAACTGTAATCCACACACACACACACTTTTGTAGTCAGTTCTTCGGCCGCTATAGGAGTACTGATGGCACCGAATAGGGGATCAATAGAGGGAATCTCTAAGATTTTTCCTGTCCCCTATTACTTAATATTTTAAAAGAACACATATTTTAAAATTGCCTTGAGTCAGAGCTCTCATTTTTATTACATTAGCAGCATGCTGGCAGCGCGGTGCTAATGTAATAAAAGCGTGAGGCTCACGGACACAGGCGCTCGCTTGTGTGAGTTCCCCACAGCGCTGCCAGCGTGCTGTTAATGTAACAAAACTGAGAGCTCTGCCTTGGGTTACTGTAACTCAGTGTGTAGACTGAGAATTAATATCTCGATAATTATTAAGAATATCACAAATAGTATGGAACCGTTTTATTCATTTCAACCCGTTCTACGTTCTCACAAACGATGACATAAGTGATTGAAGCACCGTGTTTATACATATGTGAACATGTATATGAGTATGTATCTATATGCGCGCGCACGCACATATGTATGCGTATGTATGTACATTGCAAAAAATAAATGTACATATATTTTATAAAATGCGTTTCTTGTAATTATAATTTTAAATTATACATTTTACGTTAAAAAAATATATATAATACCCTTATAGAAATATCATATTAAGAATCATTGATTAATTACTTATTTTCAGTATTAAAAGTACAGTATTTAGTAATATTCTGTGATTCAAATACAGCTTTTAGTATTCTAGTATTTCAATATTTAATGTTATAAATCCTACCTTATAATTGATTTCCATACTTCAATATTGATATGCAATATTGATATCACTGGACTTCGTCCAGTGATAAAATACTTACGCAGAACATTGTCAAAATTTAAATACTAATATATAATACTTTGTTAAGTGATGAAATACTTGCGAAAAGTACTGTTAAGATTAAAAATATTACTAGATTTGAGGTTTTCACGGCCATTGATACAATGTCTAGGTATAGCTTCCGGAATGGAGCCGTGTCTTGAATCAGCGATATGCCGACGTTTCGCAAACGTTGCAGTTTGCATCATCAGGGCTGAGAACTCTGATACTGAGCTCCCTTGGTTAAAGGTAGTCCTTATATGCCCCCCTCCCCCCCTTTGTGTAGATGGTGTAGGAAGTGGAACAAAATAATCGAATACCCTTCCTGGATGTGCTAGTCCAAAAGAACCAAGATGGCACCTTAGGTCACCAGGTCTACCGAAAACCAACACACACGTACCGATATCTACATGCAACCTCTCATCATCATCCCTCGCAAAAGAATTCTGTCATAAGTTCATTGGTTTACAGAGCGCTCACAATTTCGGAACC